GTGGGTCTACCCTTGGCGGCAGCAGTACATGCATTGCTTACCACACATACCCGGGGAAATAAAACCGTCATACCCCATCGTGCGGTTCTCATTAGCCGCTTCACGGTGAATTTTGCGTACCTCCGGGAGTGCTCGAGGTGATCTGGATCAATCATCCGGGAACCATCTAACTGGGCCAAACAATTTACATGGCAACGAAATCCAGCCGTGAATCTGGTAATGCATTTCAGTGTCAAGCGTCGGGGCGTGAGCTGACCTCGGCCGCCGGCGCGTCCCAAGCATCAATCCTGATTACCAGTGTGAAGCCGTGCATTTCGGACACAAAAGTGAACGTAAGATAAAAGGCAACGTAAAAAGCAATAGTAAGGCCAGTTCGACATCTGGCCATACTGAACGGTTAGCTACGCGTGTGCCCAGCGCGCTGGGCAAATAACCGCTGACACCGCTGCAACGGTGTCAGTAATATGACACTACTGCAATGGTATCAGTAATTTGATACTAATACAGCGGTGTCATTAATATGATCTGCTGCAGCGGTGTCAGAAACATGACACTGCTGCAACATTGTCAGCAGCATGACACTGCAGCAGCAGTATCAGTAACATCACACGGCTGAAACGGTGCCCGTAGCGTGACCGTTCTGGAGGGATGTCAGGAACATGACACGCTGCAAAATGACACTGCTGCAGAGGTGCCAGTTGCATGGAATGATTGCGGCGTTGTCAGCGCAGCGACGCAAGCAACGCCCAATTATTGTCGCCCGATTCTTGTTTGGCTGTGTGGTTTGAAGGTTTTGTATTTATAGTTTTTGTATCATTATTGAGACGTCTTTGTTTTTCAGAGCTACACCAGTTCTCCGAGAACATCCTTCGCTCATGTTCAGGAAGAGCACGTGCGGACCGTTTCACCTTTAGCTCAGCACTCGGCGTCGGCTGAACCGGCTACGGACGCAGCGACTGGCCCGAGCTCGGCCAATCGCGTGGCAAGTGCGGACCTCTCAACCAATCACGCGCCGGTGTCGAAATCCTCGGCCAATCACCTGGTTGGTCCCGTTTCTCAGGGCAACGGGATAGATGCTTCTGCTTTGGGTGCGCGCTCCTTCGATTCTCCAGCCCCTTCCACCGATGGCCAGGACTCTCCAGTTAGGCACGCCAGACCAGCTGCGGCTCCCTTAGAAGATGCAAAGATGCCGTCTCCAGCGTTGACGATTAATGCCACCGTCGTGAGTTCGCCAGCGGTCGCGGACGCTAAGATGCCTGTCATCCCCGAACCGACGCGTCTGGCAGAGGTTCGCGACTCTCGTGTGACTTGTGCGGAGTCCCTCGACGGGCCCGCGCCGTCGCCTGCTGCTGTAAGCTCGGACACGGGACTGGAGAAGCTGTCTGATGAGGCGCTGAACGAGCCCGCTCCCGAAGAGATCACGGTCAGCGAGGCGCCTGCGCATGATGGGCAGCTCAGCGCGGCTTCCACAGTGCCTTCGTCTGGGAACGTTGACGCTGCGCAGGGCTGCGAGTACGAGCCCGGTCCGCCATCGGCCCTCGAGGCCGAACCGCATCCTGTGCTCCACCCCGGAGAGGGGGCCGCCTTGCCGCCGGTATCGAGCGCGATCCTGGCCGGCGGCTCCGTGTTCAACGACACAGGTGTTGGTGACGGCAGCATGGCCACGCCGCAGACGCGGGACGAAGCGACGGCTGCGGCACCGACGCCGGAAGGGCAGCCCAATTGCCCGGCCGTCGCTGCGGAGGCGACCGTCGCAGAGCCCGTCGCCGAGCGGTCGCCAGATCAAGACAATCCCGCGACGGAGCGGGCGGCGCTCTCGTCCCCCGCGCAAGAGCGGAAGTCTCCGCCGTCCACCCATGCGACGGCCGTGACTATCGAGACGACGGCCGAACCTGCGGCGACGCTCGATGGGGCGTCCTCCCCGCCCGGCGCGCGGAGCAGCCCCGTCGGCACGCGACAGGTACAGGACGAGCCTGCGGAGACCCCGGCGCCGGAGCCCGAGCCGGTCCGCTTTCAGCCGGCGGACGACGTCAGCGACTCGGAGCTGGAGATGTACCTGGAGCAGCTGGAGGAGGAGCCGGAGCCGGAGTCGGATCCGGAGCAGCCGCTCCCCGAGCCGGCGGACGCGGTGTTCGGCGGCGCCCGGCCCAAGACTGGGCAGACGGCTGTCGCCGCGCCGGCGGGGGCGCCGCCGCCGGCGGCGTCTCCACCGCCTCCGCCGCCGTCCGAGGCATCGCCGCCCCCGCCTGCTGCGCCTGCCGCCGCGCCGGCCGCCGCGCCGGCCGCCGCGCCGGGCGCGCCTGCCGCGCCTGCCGCGCCTGCCGCGCTGGAGGCGCTCAAGGGCGGCGTCATCTCGCGCCTGCAGAGCCAGGTGTCGATCGAATGCGAGGTGGACAGCAGGAACGCGCGCGCGCCGGCCGAGCCGGGCCGCGGTTCGCCACCGCCGCCGCCGCCGCCGCCGCTCGTGCGGCCCACCAGCCTCGACCTGCCGTCCCGATCTCAGGTCGATGACGAGAGCCAGGAGGCGGCGTCAGGTGAGCACGGACAGCGCCACGCCCGGGGGTTGTACGTTTGTAAACCGGTACGTTCAGGGATGCCGTAACGACCCGTCGTTAGTGTGCGCTTTGGCGGGCTTTCCGCTGCGGCGCAGCAACGGAAGCCGCGAGCAGTCAGATGCTGTGTGGGCCACCTGCCGACATGCTGCTTCACACCTTTCCCGGTGGCTTCACCGTATTATCCGCAACAGTCGGGCGTGTAGAAGGCAGCAGCTCATCCAATGCCAGCTTTATGAACGTCAACGATGGACCTGATGCATTTTCCTGATGCGGAAGCCGTTCAGGTCAATGGATTCACTGATTTCCGAGCGTACGGCTGTGTTAACGTCTGCCTCTCTTTAGTCAGACGCACCGCACAAAAGGCTGCATAGATTCCCGAGAGATTCACATGTACAGCGGGTTCAACCCTCGCGACGACGATTCATGTCTGTCAGGTGCCGGCATCGGTCACAGCGCCGGCCAGAAAGGGCATGTTTTAACACTTGTCAGCCACGTTTCGTTTGCGTAGGAGAAACGAGTTTTGAAAAGCTAAGCCGTCGAAAAAACGTCGCCAAGCTCGAACAGCGATGCATGGAGAGCTTCCATATGGAGGGGACTGCCGTTTAACGCAGACTTAGAAATCTGAGACAACAAAACTTAATAAGGCGGTGATGACGTCAAAGGTGTACTGACGCCAAACGGCGGCGGCCCCTTGTACAGCAAGGCAGTTCTGGACTGCTTCTGAAAAACGTGTATCTAATGTATCCAGTGCGCGGAACAGGGCAAGGTGTGCCAGTGATCCATGAATGTTCAATAGCTTACAAATGTCAACCGACGAAAGTAGCTGGGGTGGGGGGGGGGGGGGGGGGAGCGGACGGAGATGGGCGCGCAGTGGCTGTGACCCCACGAGCCACGCGGTACTGGCGATTTACAACAGATACGGGCGATTTCGTAGGACTTTGGAGGAACTACGGTATTACCCCCCCCCCCCCCCCCCCCCGCCCCCCCCCCCGCCGGAATATTCGGGCTACGTGCCTTTGTCAACTGAGGCCCGCTTCATATTGCTGAGACGCGAGTCAGCGATGTGTCGTGGACTGTTGAGCTACCGACGCCAACAGCGTCGCCGTTTCGCGCAGGGAAGCAGGCAGTAATCTACTGTGAAAACTCAAGCAGCCCACTCCACAGCCGGAAAGGTCCATTTGTCCGTTAATGCAACGGTGCAATTTAAGAAGTGTTTCAACGAAAATAGTCACTTGAAACTAAGGTTTTTGCCGTGTTAGAAGATGAAGTGGCATTTTATGGAATTTTACATTATATGGCATTTCTTCCGTGGACGGTGCAATGGTCTATCAGAACGTGACCCAGCTCAAGTGCGCGAATGATGTCCATTATTATCCAAAACAAGTTAAGTCATCTGTTTCGTGATGCGCAACCGTTTTCCTGACGCCCGTGGCCCGGAAATATCAACCGCAGTTAAGGGAGCCCTCGGCATTGTGAAGAATGTCGTTGGCGTAGGAATTTGGTCGTTGTTCTAACATAGGATATATTCATATGTCAGATGATTTCACCTTACTTCGTGCTTAAAGGTCAAATCAACACTAGCAACGAATATGCTTGTCGTCATGGAAAACACGTTGACCATTTGCCATTGACTTGAATTTCATCTGGTATGCAAGCTAGTGGATACGGAACATGAGTTCTGTCTCAGACAGTGTTATTGTTCAGAACAGACAACCTGTTATCTGCTAGACCTGCTGCATCTTAACATGCTGTCCCTTACTAGGGCAATTGAGTGGCGTTGTTAGAGCGCTACCAAATTGTTCAGAAAGCTGCCCTTTTATCATTTTTTTTTCGCTGTAAGCTACTCATTCCAACTTGTGTTTTGAACTAAGCAAACACAACAGCCGGTTTTATGCCACGGCAAAAGTGGTGAATTATACTGTATTTTCCCGGCAAGGTGGTATCATAGGCGGCCTGAATTGTTTTGTTGGAAGCCTGGACTCCCACAAGTGCTCGGGACCCGGGAGCTCTTTCGTTACTTCCAATACTGCTTACATATGTTCACCTCCAACCGTTGTTTTTTTTTTTGGTCCAACTTATGCCATGTTACAAGTGCTGGTCTTACCGATGGTGTCTAGGACGTGTCACACCGCTTTACGTTGTTATTGATACTTTCCGGAGCCAAAGCCTACGCATTTTGAGATCCGGCGGAGTCAGTTTGCCCTTCTCGGCGGCGACAATTTGACCCAGAGCCCTAAAGACCAGACCCACGGCCGTTCAGCTGTATAACGCGCATCTGTTGCCGCCGTGCAGCCGCCCCGGGCGAGACGCCGGCCGCCGACCCGGCCGCGGAGACCAGCGAGGACGGCCCGGAGCAGTCGGCGCCGCCTGACGACGCCGCGCCCTCAGGTCGAGAGCGTGTCGACGACTGGCGGCAACATCGTGACGGCGCCGGGCGCGTACGAGGAGGCGCGGCTGGCGGCGGGCCGCGCGCCGGCCGCCGCCGCCCGCGGCCAGCTGGTCAGCCTCTCCGATGAGGACAAGCACCTGGGCAAGGTGGCGCCCGTCTGGGTGCCCGACGAGGACGTGAGTGGACTCGGTGCGGTACCGCCTGGCGCGCCCAGCGGCCGGGCGCGGGGCGCCGGGCGGCGGGGGTGGCAGCGGGCTCCCCCGGTGTGTTTGTGGCAGGACGATGTCGCGCAGGCGCAGGGCCGCTCCTCGCTGTCCGCTCTCCGGGGACGTGGCTGGGTGTGTCCGTACCGCTGTTACTGGCATATCTGAACGCCCGATCGGCTGAGGCAGCATCATTATGAGCTGTCGCTGCTTCTGAGCAGGACCTGGTTGGGGCTGTTGTATCTCGGTTCAGACCAGTCCGGACCTGTGTGCTGCGGAGGTCGGCGCCGGCCGGTGGTGCTGCCGAGTGGTGCGTGTTGTGCCTGAGGGGTGGGACCCTGAGTAGGTAGTGACCCGCCGCCGCGGGTCACTACGGAACACGCGGGTCGCTCACCAGTGCTTGACGGGCGTTTGGGATCTGATCCTGAAACCACACGCGCGTTGGCTCGTCACGGGAGACGTGTTAGCCTCCGATTAAAAGAATGAAACTGAACTAGCCCCTATTTCTGAGCAGGGCGGTGCTCTGCGAAATACAACTCTTCACAAGCCATCCATTGAGCTGGGATTATTGCACTGCGTTGGTGGGGCCCAAGCATCGACAGCGTGCTAGCCTAGGAGGGTTCGGTTGTGGACCATCGCTGACACACCCGGCCAGGTCTGACCTGCGGCCGCGCCGGGGCGCTGACCAGCACCACGTGACTGCGGCAGGCGGCCAGCTGCATGGAGTGTGACCAGAAGTTCACGGTGATCCGCCGGCGCCACCACTGCCGCGCCTGCGGCCGCGTCCTCTGCAGCGCCTGCTGCAGCGAGCGCGTCTGTCTCGAGTACATGGAGTTTCGCGAGGGGCGCGTCTGCATCCGCTGCAAGAGCACCATCGATAGGGGTGAGCCGATCCCGCGCCGCCACCGATGGCGACGGCACGGCGGGGGTGCGGGAGGCTGTCTGTAGACGTACGAGGTTGCAGTCCAATCTGGCGTACTCAGTTTGGTACATAAAATAGGCAGATACAAATGTGATGGCAATGAGTAAGAATTAAGTGTGATTGATGTTGTGATTAGGCAAAATTGCTTCACTGACCTAAGTAATGCACGCATTCACAAAGTTGGGAAATGCTGGTCGGCGTTTGGGGAGTCTGTGTGCTTTGAACGATTAAAATCGGCGATCAGGGCAGGTGGCAGATAGTGTGAACGAAGCTTGGGAGTAGTTCGATGATTTATATATTATAATTTGAATCGTATTATTGTGTTAACGATCAAATGTAGGTGGGAAGCAAGCAGGGGTCGGAAACATGGCGGACAACAGTAGCAAGTATGTGTTATGCTTGTTCTGGATATATGGGACACAAGAAGGTCGGCCCCATCCCCTCCAGCTTTGCACGGGCTGTCGGTGTGCTACGACTGGGGCACGTCACGTGTCTGCGCCAGTGATCACGACCGCCACGTGCCGTCTCAGACGTGGATAATCTAAGTGCTACACTCCTGTTTTTCCGCCCGCTACACAAATGTCTTATCTGAAGCGTTTATCGGAGCTCGCTCTGGGCTGTCACGAGCGGTCGCCCTCCTCGAGCGCTTTTGCTGGAGCTGCTCCCGTGGTGTCGCACAGTAGTTAAGCTCGGATTGGGGGTGTCGTCCCGGGCCGCGGACAGTTTGTAAACGGAACTCGTCCGCACCGAACCGGCACCATTCGTGGCCGGTTTCGCTCGTTCTGTCCCGTTCACGAGCGCTGCGCTGGGTGGCAGCGCGGCAGCCGCCAGCCCGCTCGCGGAGAGGCGTCGGGACCGCGGCTGTCGGGGGCGCAGGTGAGGTGGCCGGCGGCGCTGACCGGCCGCCGTGGCCGCCCGTGTCCACAGTGCAGCAGGAGAGCCGCGTGGTGGCCGCCGCGCAGCCGGCCGCCCGCCACCAGCGCGCCCGGCCGCCCAACCCTAACAACCCGATGGAGTACTGCTCGACCGTGCCGCCCGCCCAGCAGGCCACCGCCAACGCGCCGCCGCCCACCGTCATGGTGCCGAGCGTGCTGAAGCGCACCGAAGGTACGCCGCCTGACCCGCCTCCCGACAGGCCGCCGGCCGGCTGTCGGCGGCGAATCCCGGGTCACGTCCCAGGGTCCCCCGCCGAACCCGAGGTCCCACGTCACGTGTTTTGGGTTCGTTTTTACCGTTTTTGTTTAACTCGGTGCTAAGTGGGGCACTTTAAGATCGATTCTTCATAGATAGATCACTTTGCTTTAAATTGTGTGGCGTGTGATTGGCTATGAGTATGCGACCAAGCGGTTTGCCGTGGGCCACATGGCATGGCATGGAGCTTGCTATTGCACAGTTGTGGTATTTGCTTAGAGTGGTTTGCGTTCGAATTTTTTGTTCGATTTGGTTTCATATGGCTTGCATGACATCTATTTAATGAAATGTGGTCGACCCGCAACTCGCAACTTTACAAACTAAAGGCGGGGGTGGCTGAGGCAAAGTTGGCACTAGAGGCCCAGGGAAAGGTTTTTTAGACGCAGAGGGTCTTATCTCTGGAACTCAGGGAGGTCTCCAACTTGAACTTGTTCGGGCTAAACTGCAAAAATCTGCCCACTTAAAATGGCGCGATAAAGCCGAAGAGTGCCCGCGATCACGCGTTTACTGGGACTGTCACAGATATACAGAAGATGGTTCGCTCTGTATCATGAAATTAGGAACTTAGCAGCGCGTGGGTCGATTTTGAAGCCAGTCGTGTAAGAAGGGCAATGCTACCCATCTTTGTCAAACAATACAAATATCGTTATTTCCCATAACTAACGCCGTCGCCTGATGACGTCGGCGGGGTTTATTTTCCCTCCCATTAGTCATTATATTCCAGGCAACCATCCCTTTCCTTGGTCATCATAGCCGTACAACAATCCCTTTCCTTGGTTGATATAATCCCGACAATAATCCCTTTCCGTTGGTCAATATATTCCCGACAATAATCCCATTCCTTGGTCATCAAAGCCGCACAACGATCCCTTTCCTTGGTTGATATAAGCCCGACAATAATTCCGACAGTAATCCGTTTCCTTGGTCAATACAGTCCCGACAATATTCCCTTTCCTGCGGCATCATAGCCGTGCAACAATACCTTTCTTGGTCAATATAATCCCGACCATAATCCCCTTCCTTGGTATCTTTCGTGAGTCATAGTGGTGTTACAGCGCGCGGTACTTTGTACTATTTCCTTCTGAGCCATACAGTATTGTTTACCTTTAAAGCGCATAACATAAATTTGGCGCCGATAGTGGCGTTCTAGGTCGGCTGTGTCATAAATAGGCCTCTGCACCGGGGTGAGGTGCTGCGAGCCGAAAATACGTGGCGCACCCTCGGCGGTTTGCTTGCCTTGGTACGTGTGGAGCGTTGCGCTCATGCCGCCTGTGACCATCTTCGGAGTGTTCTCGTGCCCGGGTTGTTGCCGCCCCCGGGTTGTAACCGTGCCCGGAGTGTAAGTATCCGTGCCCGAAGTGTGCGCGCCGCCAGTGCGGCGCCCGGCTGAGAGGGGCCCCGCGTGCGGCAGGCTCCGGCGGCCGGACGCCGTCCCGCGAGGCCAAGCAGGTGATGTTCAGCGACGGCATCCGGCCCGGCGGCGACCTGAGCGAGCCGGCGTCGGGCCGCGGCGCGCAGCGGCCCGACGCCGGCGGCGCCCTCTGTCGGCCGCCGCACCGGCGCACCGCCCGGCTGGCGCGCGGCGCCGACCGCTCCCGTGAGTACGGCCGCCCCCGCGGCTCCGTCGCCCCCCCCCCCCCCTCCCCCCGCCCTGGCGCCCGGAAGGTCCCGGGTGGTCGACTGTCTCCACCTGTGTCGGCCCGTGCGCTACGCTGGACCGGCTGCCCCACGCCCGCTGGGGTGCGTGTGAAGTGAATTTATTTCCAGGAATGTTGCAACGCCCGCTCGCGCTAGTCTGTCCATACGGCGGGCTGGCGGCGGCTGAATGCTCGCCAACTTGGCAGGTTTTGCCGCCATCCGTGGTGTGGGTGGGGATGGAGGTGCGGTCCCGTCGACCGCTTCACACCCGATGCGCTGGAGCAGCAAAAAGCGACGTGAAAGACGCGACGCAGTTCGACGGGCTCAGACGGCTCGGTCTGGTGTGGTGATGGGCTTTGCATTTAGACGGGACGGGCTGGGCGATCGGGCGGTTTCAGTTGAATCAAGCTGGTGAGAGGCCGTGGGCTGCACACGTGAGGTGTAACCAAAGATTGGCACCCGCATGTGATTGTGGCCAACCCACAACTGCTAGGACAGGCGAAGTTGGTGGCAGGAACATGACATACATGCCAGTCGATTAGTGGCTGTCCTATCACCCTATAACCTCAACCTGTGGTGTGCGTAACGCTCGCGATGAGTTGCGCCCCTCTTCCCATCATCAGGGGTGTGCGGGGGAGAGGGGGCGGAGTTTGTAACCTAAGAAGTTGTATGCCCCGAGCTGTACGAATGATTTGTCTGGTGCCGATGCTGCCATCACGTAGGAAGGCCAAGGAGATCAGTGCCAAGCAACGTTCCAAAAATCCTCCATTAGGGTGTCCAGGATGAAAATGTAATTTCATGTTAACGAAATCCCAGTTCTCCAGCGGCCTCCTAAGTCACGTAGGCGCTAATCCGTTGCGCTTTGACCCCGAACCCAGAATCTGACCCGCCCAGCCCATTTGTCAAGCCTGGGGCACTTAGATGCGGGGTTGGCCACCGCCCGGTTCGATGCTGATTGGCCGATTTCGAGCAAGGAGAGGAACGACAGAAAGTGAACCCCAAGCCAGGGGTGTAATAGCGCAAGCGAATATCAACACATCTGCCACCTAAGTGACTGAATGTTGAAGCATTTGTGCCAAGATGCAAGATGCCAAGATGCCCTTGTGCCTGCATGCGCGTGCGACCTGTTGAACTTGACGTTGTCCGAGCCACGGGAGCCATAATCCAGAGACTCAAAATTGGGTGCACAAAGGGATCTTCACGCAAAGAATCCACCGTGCGCCTTTCTACATCCCAGGCGTCAAAGGTCATACGTGCGGCGCACGTGGCTCTCTTTTTAGTCGCCGTCGGGAGACCGGTGGCGTTGCGATCACGGGTCCCGATTTTGACCCCAAGCCCACGGTGATCGTATCGGTTTGCTGCTGGTTTGAACGCTGGCGATGCTGTAGGGGTGGATATGGAGGGCAGCTGCGCTTACCCGCCCTGTGGTCCTCTATTTAGCTGAGGCTGAGCATGCATGGCAGTGAATGGCGTGATATTCAAGGACTGCATAGATGTCGGGCTCAGAATGTGCTTTCTGCCTGCCTGTGTACCCGCGTGTCGGTCCGTCTGTCCGCATGAGGGCATGTCACGATTTACGCACTTTATGTGCTGTTTTGAGGTATTCCATCCTTCTTGTTACCAGTATTCAGTACAGTGGCTGCGTTACGTTTTAAGTGAGCGGTGTATGCATGCTACTTTCGTCCAGGTCCGAGCGCGTGAAAGATATTTGGGCGTACAACCACTGGCATTCAGATCATCGTGAAATGCTTGTTGGGGATTTTTCCATTGGGAACCCCCTGGGGGGGGGGGGGGGAGAGGGGTCAAAAGTAGCTTCAACATTCCACGATCTAATTCATATATCGAAAAAACCTAAACGCAACCGAAAGGCCTGGTCCCTCGCACCTAACAGTCGTTGAGATTGTCACTCGTCACGTGACCAAGTATGTCACTCGTCACGTGACTGAGTATGTCACTTGTCACGTGGCTGAGTATGTCACAAGTAATGCAAAATGTTTTAAAGGCTACGGAATTTTCCCCACTCGTCCAGGGCCGTGCGGCACCCGTAATGTTTTCCGTATAACATTGTAGCCGACATTGAGCGATAGGGTGTGCTGTTCCGGTTGACGTGGTGCAGACATATACATTATATATGTATATATATATATATATATATATATATATATATATATATATATATATATATATCGCGTCCATGAGGTAGATGATGCGATGGAGAGGTATGTCATAGTCCTCAACATCTTGCACCGCTGCGATTTATCTGAACTTATCACAATGTGTTACAATGCAGATCGCATTGCTAAAATTTGCCGTATATAAGATTTCGTTGCCGTATTTACCGTATATCAGATTTGAAATACCTTAAACTTGAAATGGCATGCGTTGTCCAATGCGTTTTGCTCATTCAACGTGTTGAGAAGGACGCCTTTGGATTTTCGTGGACGTGGAAAGGATTATTTTTAGTCCGAAGAAAGTAAAGTTCTGAAAAATCATACTTTGCAGATGTAAGGTTATCTTCCCCGGTTACGGTCATATGTGAAAACGGCTGAAGCTGCGCTGTGGTATCACTAACCAGCTAATTGTCGACAATTGGAAGTGGAGGATGACATTCTACCAGCCTCCTGTTTTGCTGATGGATATGACCTATGAGCTAAGCCGTTGCCGTCTGCATGCCGGAGGATTTTTGCCGGTGGTTATGCCCCGCGGATCACCGTCAAGTGATGAACGCACAGGCGTCAGATGCCGAGCTGCGCTCCACTATTTGTTGATCACCATGATAACGTGAGTCTTCTCTGGCCGTACAAGAGACGTGCCTACTCCACCGAGCCGAGTATTGTTTGTCAGCGGTGAGTATCGTGTGCGGTGGTGATGCGGGCTAACTTTTTCTCTTGCCCCCTCCCCAGCGGCGGCGATTCTGAAGGACGCTAAGGGCTGCAAGGAGCTGGCGTGGAAGCCGGAGAGCGGCAAACTGCCGCCGCTCTACCAGTCCGGCTCGGCAGGTGAGGGGTGCGACTGTCGAGAAGGCTCGAGGTTGGGCTGCCCCCGCCGGCTGGAGTGTCCTGCGTATGCCAGCGGGCGGGCCTGCGGCAGATCGACGCGTGTCCGACACTGCCATCTTGCGGAGGCGTGTGTAAACACGTGCAGCATGGCTGCGAACTGAGGCGACGGTACGGTCCCCGTGAATATTTGACGTGATGGGAGCAACGACTCTGCAGTTACAGCCTCCGACATTGTGGAAAATCCGTGCGAGATGTCCGTCTCCGAACGCTTACAGCGCGATGATAAATTGTTTAATATAGTCCATGTAACAAATTTAGCCCGTCGGGTTGGCTGTTGGCGGGGTGTTTGAATCGATCTCATTTTGCATAGCTTGTTGCGTCTTCTATGCCCGCGGTTACAAGGGCTTGGCACTATCGAAAATTTTCCCCTGTCTGTTGGTCAATCAAATAAGTTTATTGGATGCAGTCCGCTAGCAGACGGAATGTGTCTTGAGATGCGCTGGGCATGGAGTGGTCTTACAATCGATGCAAAGCTAACGTCTGAGTTGTTGAACGCCTTATCGATTGCGTAAAGTCAGTCTGCTCACGGCGCCCGAGTGTGGCCGCGTTGTCGGGGCCCCGCCAGGCCGTTTGTCTACGTCTGTCCATTCATTGCGGTCTACCGCGCAAGCCATCGCTGATAACATATGATGACATGGCCGGTGATAGTCCGCCACAGCAGTCGCGTTCGGGTTATGCGAGGTGGTGGTGTCCAAACGGTGCTGTCCTTGTGGATGTGCCTATGGAAGTCCAGCAGTTCGCAATCGGCTAGTGACTTTGGTCGTGATTTGGCGACGATTACCGTCGGTGCTGCCTCCGTTGACGTAAGAACATCATATCAGCTTCTGTGATCAGAGGCCGGGTCAGGAAATAACCGTGTATTTTAAAGACGCCTTCGGTAGTTTTTGCCAGAATCAGTCCACAGTTACGACAACGCCTGCGCTGCAGCCATTTTCGTACGACCTGAAATTTAGTTAGATGCATGTGTAAGGTCAGGGCAGAAGGAAACAGATTACCGCATCACACGCTTGCCACATTGCTGCCTTCTCTTGTGCTGGTAAGCCCATTCGTATGTGACCGATTGCCGATACATTTTTCAGGCGCGTCTGTCAAGCAGTCGACCCCGGAGGAGACGATCGTGTCCATGATTCGGGCCGAGCGCGATCTGCCGTGGTCGTTCCTCATCAACAAGAACCTGATGGTGGTCGTCAAGGTGTTTAAATGTAAGGATGCTGATTGGCCAACGGCCGTCACATGCGTAAGCTGTGCCGAGGTCGTGTGTCCAAGGATGGACTGTTAGTAGGCATGCTTACGTAGCGCGTTCCAAACGCTGCCAGACCAGCGCAGAAGTTCGACAAACTGGGCATGCCCGCTGGCCGCTGTTATTGTGCATTCGCTGAACACGGGATTCCCTAAAAGATGGCACGTTACTGTTCCCGCGTCATTTTTAGACGCCTTTAATTAGCGACACCATCCGACGTGTAGTTAAGTCTACTCTGGCAGAACCCATCAAATGACAGCCCTGCAGCCGCGCAGGCACGGGAACGGTGGGGAGTTGCCAGCTTGTTGACGTCTCGCAAAGTCACTGTGGTACGCTGCTGGGTCCGGGGACCAGGAGCCTTTCGTCACGTGCCGGAAAACACGAGGCATTCAAGGATTCAGCGGGGCGGAAGGGGCGGGCCATGGCAATCCCGAAAACATCGCTTTTGGCAGAGTGTTTCCATATTTCACATGGTTAGGACGAAAACATCGCATTTAAAACGACGATTGTTGTAACAAGCGGACTAACATCATCCTTCAGCGTCCAGTGCAGTATGCACCTGGCGAAAGTAAGCGTCACCACAGGCCCAACCAAGTTCTGGGCTTTTTGCCGTTATTTAGTCCGGTTGGTCAAGCTCCATTATTTAGTTCCGGGAGGGACTGAATTGTGTCTTGTGGTCAGCCATGTACGCTTCACAGCGCAAATTCTCCACGTGGAATTGTGGAATCGAAACCAATTGTTTCATGCAATGTACGCGTCACAACACCAGTTATTCTTGGAATTGCTCGAATTTGAACTGGGTGTGCTGATTGCGGACACGCCAATGAGAGGTGCCGCTGGCGGACGCGGTGTGTGTGAGTTCCGCGCAGGACTGCCGGGCGTGCCGTCCACCCGACCGAGGCCTGCAGCCACGACAATCCGTATCGCTGGGCGGCGGGCTGCGCTATGGCTGACGTTTGACGCCTGCGGGCGTCATCTGACTCCCGTTAGCGTCATCTGACGCCGTTTGGCGTTGTTTGACACCTGTGAGCGTCGTCTGATGCCTGTGTCCTTGTGCTGCAGTGGACTGCTGCGTGGGCCGCACCTGCTGGATATTCACCTCGCACGGCCTCTCGACGGTCGGCCAGGAGGAGGTGGTCGTCATTCTCGAGAGTCTGCCCAACGAGGCCACACTGCCCAAGGACGTCTTCTTCTTCTACCACCACCTGTTCGCGGAGGCGGCCAAAGGTGGGCGTCCCGGCGTCGCCGCTCCCCCGTGCCGTCCGCTGCGGCCCACGTGACTGCGCTGTCCGCGGCTGAGCGGTCCTGGCTGGACAGTACCGCGAAGCACCACTCAGACACGGGCGCGGCGGCGTTGCCGCAAGACCGATGTGTCGATGGTCCGACGCGTGGCATGCGTGACTTCCTGACTCGCGACAATCTTACCCGCTGAATTGGAGACCGCCTGTCGATGACCGTGACTCTGTGCGCGTTTGCAGGCAACTTCGTGACGGAGCTGGGCCACACGCTGTTCTCGACCCCGTTCCTGGACTCGAAGGAGCACGGCGGCTTCCTCTACCTGCGGCCGACGTTCCAGTGCTTGCACAACGTGCCGTGTCCGCCGCAGCCGTTCCTCGTCGCCGTGCTGATTCAGAAGTGGGAGGCGCCGTGGGCGAAGGTCAGCAGAATGGTGGCAATCAGCTGCATGGCCGTTCAGTATGTGGAAGCTAGCTGGAACTGATGTTGGCAATACCCTCCGTTGTTGACTTTGTCGGTGCCACTTTTGTAGATAATTTTCATCTAAGTACGTGAGTTTTTTTCGCGGGGCATTGTCAGCGAGACAGCGAAAGAAATGCTTCAGTACTGTGGTTTACCAGTTACGCATGCATCTGGTGCGTGATCGCCAAATACGTGCTGTGACAGGCCAAGGATACACCATTGCCGAAAGGGATCTGAAAGATGTTCACACGGAATTACGAATCCCAGAGCATTCATCGACATGATTTTACGCACATCCTAGCTCGCACATGATTTCTCCACAAAATAAAAATGGTCGAAGAAGGTTTCTGGCAAAAGCATAAGACTTATGCCCCTGTCGTTGTCAACACTTCTGCCATCAGGCGGCGAGGCCCGTGGGCACGGCTTGCGCCCCCACATGGGAGGTTTACGGACGGCGACGCGGGCGCCGTTATCATTCCCCCCCCCCCTCCCCCCGCACACCTGCCGTCCGCCGACGGTCGGGCCGGGAGAGCTGACCTGACCTGACCATGGCCCGCGCCGCGTCGCTCCGCGCAGGTATTTCCCGCTGCGGCTGCTGCTGCGGCTGGGCGCCGAGTTCCGCTACTACCCGTGCCCGCTGGTGAGCGTGCGCCACCGCAAGCCCGTCTTCTTCGAGGTCGGCCACACCATCATCAACCTGCTGGCGGTAGGTTGGCCTGGGCTGGCGGCGAGCTGGCCGGGGATGACAAGCTGAGTGTGAGGTCGCCACAGCCGTCCGCGCTGACGGACTCTGTCCGCGTGTGGCGCAGGCTGCCGTCCGTCTCTGGCGAGCTACCCCGCTGACGAGCCGAGTCGGAGGGGCCGCCGCTGTGGGCGGGAGCGAGCGTGGTCGACTCCACGCCCCCCGGGGAGGGTGGTGTGTGGTGTGTGTGTGTCTTGATCCCGACCGTTCACTAGTCATGGTGTCGTGACATGGCCCCGGCCAGTGACCGGGTCTCTGTCCCTCGTGGTGACCTGGGCAGGCTTCCAGTATCGCTCGGCACCTCTGGTATGGCTCTGCAGCCGAGCGGTGCAGTGTGTGGTGATGTACTGGCGAGTCCATGGTGAGCACGTTTTGGTGAATAACTGCTCGTCTTGCCACAGGACTTCCGCAACTTCGCCTACGTCCTACCCACCGTGCACGGCATGCATATCCACATGGAGGAGCAGCAGACAGTCCGTGCTGATCCCTCGCAACAGGTTCAACCAGGTATGGTGTCGATATATGCTCTCCGCGTCCCCGGAAGTGGGGTCCCCAGCATCCCCCAGCAGCGGGGACATCAGCGCGCCTGAAATCGTGTCAACAGAAGCGAACCGGTTTGTGTTATCGTGTGGTTATTCGCTAATAAAGATAAATTGTTTATGCTGATTTGGGTGTGATTGGAATGTTGGCATTGCCTGCATTGCACACTCGGGTGTCAGTGGCCTGGGGAAGTCTGCGTCGTGGGTCGCTTGGTCGCTTCAGTCATGATTTCCACGCTTTTGTCCTCCGACTAGGTGCTGAAGGCCATCAACAACAGCAACGACCACGTGCTGGCGTTGGGGGCGAGCTTCTCGCGCGAGGCGGACAGCCACCTGGTGTGCATGCAGAACGAGGATGGCCAGTACCAGACCCAGGCCATCAACATCCAGAACCGGCCACGTCGGGGTGAGGCGCGGGTTGCTTGGTTCTGCTTTTTCTTTTTGTTGGCCAATTCTGGCCACCCTTGGAGAAGGTGTGCAAGTTTAACCGATACCGATAAGTTTTGCACGTGCCGTGATGAAACAGTTTTGTGTGTTCCGTCGGCAAGCTCCAGTGAAGTCGTAACTGCAACAAGAGCATAGCCGTTCAGGTGGGTTCATAGCCGCTGCAGTGGCGGGCTAGGTATGATTTGCTCCATTATGAAAATCGGCCAAAGGTCTGCCAAATCCAGGGGCCACTATAAATTGTGTGAGGAGTTTGAGGGCCGCCCCTTCAAGCATGGAGCATGCGGAATCCGCAGAAAGTTTGCAGACTTTCTTGTCAAGAGAATTTGCAAACTTTTCACTTTTTAGTACTGCCTGTAGTGGCCGTGGCAGTGTTTTGTTATTTTCCTCGTCGCTCTCCCATGCTTACACCGGAGCACTGGCCTCGGCCGTTGCCGGGGAAAAGAAGGGCTGGACCACGCTTGGCCGTGACTTTGTCACAAGTGGTGACTGCTGCCCCATATTCGTCGAATCACGGAAATGTCACGCGAGGTGGTGACATTTCTGATATCATTAACCGCGCCCTGCGCGCCGCCAGTGACTGGCGCCAGCTTCATCGTCTTCAACGGCGCCCTGAAGTCGGCCTCCGGCGTGACGGCCAAGTCCTCCATCGTCGAGGACGGCCTCATGTTCCAGGTTGGCAGCTCTGGTGGATGCTACCGCAGTGGGGGGGGGGGGGGGAGAGTAGCGGGAGGGGGGGGGGGGTTGTCTGTGCAGATGGGCTCCGCCTCTCATCGAATGGTACTCTTCTGGTGTTAGTTAGGTTTGTTGTTTCCGTACTGGCGTGTTGACGGCCGTTAAGGGCTGTGTTTAAGGGCCGTTACGAGTTAACTCGAAGGCAGATTGAGTGACAAATTTGGGAGTGTACATCAGTCTGCCTGCCTGTTTGCGTTAGTTGCAGTTTTGCTTGAGACTCTGTGTAAATTCAGTACTGGAGTTCAGTTTGGGTAAGCACATCATTACGCGCACTCAAAGCCCTCTAAATGCGCATACGCAAAATCTCCGCATTGGAGGTGTTAGCATCTGCGTGATGGGTCGGACTGCTGGCTCTCACCAGCAAGCTAAACCAAAGAAACACAATTATGTTGTTGAGTTCTCTTGGAACCTAATTTGACTGAAGCATATGTAGATAAGCATGCGCGCGGGCGGCTTTCGGCCCGAAAATGTCACTGTATCAATTACAGAAACTTGTGCTGCTTGGTATTCATCGTCAACCATGTTGAGGTGACACTGAATATTTCCAGGCAGATGGGACCCTGGGAAGTTTTTTCACTCCGTAGATTAATTCACGAAAACTTGTGGACGGAACAAGCCAAAATATGTGCAGGGTAATACATTTCGTGTTTTGCACGCATTTCACCGTGTTGAATGTTACAACGCAGCCTGGTTGAATATTACAATACATTGGCCTGAGTGGATAACTCCAGTCATTGGTTTCATATCCGCCAAGAACATTATTATTGACCTGCCAAAGCTTGCCCACAATGCTGCCATGTATACCGGAGATCGTCCAGCAGCACTTCACTGCGCCTTTCGCGAGTGCGTGGATGTTGACGTGGCCTGTCCGAAGCAGCGCGTGACCTCTGGCCTGTTGGACCTCACCCGTGACCCGGCGTCGCTCCCCAGATCAGCTCGGAGACCATGCAGACGCTGCGGGGCAGCCTGCGCCAGATGCAGGACTACAAGATCGAGTGCGGCCCGCTGGGCATGGCGCCCGACGAGGTCATCAGCATCAAATGGGTGGAGGACGACCGCAGCCACAACCTCGGGTAGGCAACGCTGCCGTCGCAGCGTCGGCTGGGCAACGCTGCCGTCGCAACGTCGGCTAGGCAACGCTGCCGTCGCAGCGTCGGATTCCAACAGTTTGCTATGCGTGCACAAAGTCCGTTGGTCAATATTTGTCAACATGAAAATTTCAGCCGATCTGAATCGGCTCTAATTATCATTGACGTAAATTACCCTGACTGCCCTGTTGTGATGTTGGCTAACGAACGGGCCACGGAACTCGAACGCGCTTGTTATGTTAACCGCGTATTTTCACCAGAAGACGTGAAATGGCTTGCATTGCGCACGATATGAATCTGGAAAAGTGTTTCCTGTTCCTTATTACCGCTTCACGTGTGTATGTTCTCGGACAATTTGTAGGCTTACGAATGCTCGTTAATTTCACGGTTGTGTGCTGTGGCTTTCATGTTGGTTTGCGCATCTGTCATGTACAGATTTTTGTGCCCATTGTACGGTACTTGTTGACATTGTCAGCGTGCAGTTTGTGCGCAAAGCACTGCTGTTTTGCTGACGCTGATTACCGACAGCAGAAAATTCAATGATCTGACTTAGCCGTGCATCCTATTAGGTTACGACGGCCAAACAAGATGGCTGACTTACCCATTGGCCGAGATTACGCGTTGTGTACATGCGTTTCTAGTTTGGATAAGCTTAACTTGGATCGGGCTAATGTAATTGATGCCTTGTGTGCACGACTTTGGGAAAATCATGACTCGTGCAGTGTGCATGACATTTCTCCAGTGGTCCATCGCAGACCGTGCATCGTATTACATCGCCCCGACCTCCGAAGTGGGCTTGGCCGTTCCTGCGTGTCGCGCGCGTGCGTCCCTGTCTCACCGCTCGTGGACTGTCCGTGCACCAGGGTGAGGAGCGTGATCGACGACAAGGCGCTGGACGGCGTGCCGTCTATCCGCGTCCACTCCGCCACCGACTACGTGGGCGAAACGAAGCTCATCCGCTGGACCGAGGTCTACGTCATCAAGGTGAGAGCGCTCGCTGGTCTTCGGACCGCACGTGTCAAACTGAAGGCGATCCCTGGGCAGAGCGCGGCGTCATCAAACGGAGGCGGACGTCCGACGAACTTGATCCGCTCGATCCCGTTTTCACTGCTTCCGCACGTGCTCAGACTTTTGCGCATGTAACACATATAGCCTATGACACCTTTCGTTTGTGTGCACATGACCGACGCCGCTGTCACAGCGTGGCAGCAGGACATGACCGTGCTGACCTGGCAGCACCGGGCGCTCAGGCGGGGCCGACCGCAGCCGGCGGGACTGACCGGCCGCCGTGTCGGACAGGTGACGGAGTCGGTGTGCCGGTCGGGCAGCGAGCCGCCGGACTTCTCGCGGCTGGCCGAGGAGGTGGCGCGCGGCACGTGCGTCGCGCTCACGCCGCACCTGCCGCTGCTGGCCGAGTCGGAGCGGACGCGCATCGGGCTGCGCGCCACCGTCGACCGCGACACGGTACGCGCGGCGCTCGGGTCTCCGACGCGTCGGGACCGGCGCGGCCCGGGGACCGATTGGGAGTGGTGGGCTGCGGTTGTGAAGGATGATCCTGGCCGCGTGATGCTCCCGGTCTGGAAGTGTTTTTACTTGATGTGAGGTCTGGGATCAGTAATTGTGTGTGGAAGCCTGCATGGGTGGATGTGCTTGCACGATCATACTGTGTTGTGTGGGGGGGGGGGGGGGGGATAGATGTTTACGTGCGCACTGCGCGGAGATGGCGTTTGCATGCTGGGTAGAAGTGGGGCAGTTGCATTATGTGCGGCATATGTGCGCACCATTTCGAGTATTTCGTCGTTAAAACGCGACGCGCAGAACGGCGTTGATGCAGACGATTATTTTTTGTTTTGTCAACAAAGTTATGCGGTCGTAATGCGCAGTGTTAGCCAGTGTGTGCGGACTGGATGGATCTTGAGTTTCTTCGCTGAGACCACCATCGGCGTCCACTGCTCATCGGCTGTCTTCCGATCGCCGTCCTGACCTGGTTCACGCCTGACTGCTGCACGGGCAGGTGGGCTACGAGGCGGGCAGCAACGGCGAGGCGCTGCCGCCGGCCTGCCTGAACCTGCTGGACTCGGAGCTGGTGCCGGTGCTGCACCGGTACGCGGCCGAGGTGCCCGACAGCCCCATCTGCCTGGAGCTGCTGTTCCACGTGATCGACCGCTGAGACGACGCGCGCGCCTGAGGCGGCCCGGGGTCGTGTGATGAGGCTGTGACGCCTGCACTGTGGGCCGGGCCGCGACCGCTGCGGCGGGGCGGAGCTGCCGCGGCGTCCGGCCGCCGCCCGCGCCGACGGCCGCCGGCGGACGCGGCCCGCCCGCCGACACCGTTATCCGGGGAATCTGATATGCATGCGCCGCGGCGGCGAGCGGTGGCGCGCGTCTGCGAGCACGTGCGTCCGCGGCTGTGGCTACGCCGTGGTGCGGTGCGTCCGCGCGGTACGGGTAATCGCCTCCGCGCGGGACCGGCCCACGCGCCGCCGGCGGATTGCCGGGAGCCCAGACGCGGGTCCAGCCGCGTCGAGGTCCGCCGCGGTCGGTGCGCCGCACGGCGGTCCCGGCGCGGACCAGGCGGCTTGCGGTGATCCGTAGACGGTAGGAGGGCAGACGGCGGCTAATATTGACCCTCGCGCACCGTGACTGGTACTCAGTACTGTTTCTCACTCACGAACGCCCTGCCGAGAGGCGCGCGCGCCGTCACACGTGCGTCGGCGGCTGCCCTCGCGCCCCACACGATGTGGGGCGGCGATGCAGGCCCGGCCAGCCGACCTGTCGGGCGGGGTCGTTCTCACTGCAACGTACTGCTTAAGGGCACATCGTCAGCCTAGGGGTGCTCATGTTACGCGTGCCGGTTGCAATGTGTTATTTGGATGTGATGCTGCCGGTGGCATATGCGGTCACTTGATGTACTGATCCGGTGCGTTTACCTTAAGTTCCACGAGTACGTGAAAGGTGGTGATTAACAAGTGTGTTAGTTGGGCGACTATGTTTATTCTAAAACACCAGTAGACAACAAATATGTTTACGGTCTGCTTCGTGATCGAGGGGTGGAATATGTATCGTCAACAATACTGTACGAAAAATATACACATATGGCGTTTGTCTTCTGTATTTTATCGCGGGTGGAAAGGAGTCGTGGTCGACATTTGTGTCTTGTCCGTCAAGCGGACTGATGTAGAAATGGACCCGGCAGGCACCATCAGGTGGTCTGCGTCTGGCATCCACGCCGGGTCCAACTAGGAATGCGGCGGATAACCGAATGGGCCAAGTGGCGCGCGCGATGGGATCGGGATGGTCTACAGATGAGTTCGTCTTGGACGTGCGCATTTTCCAACGGGGATGGACCTTCCTGTGTGTTGCTTTAGTTCCGGGGGGAGCTGCGTCCATGAGATGCAGGGGCGCTTGGGGCGCCGCCGGATCTTGGCGGGGGCTCAGCTCCGACGGATCTGAGCCCGCTTCTACCGCGTGGCAATGGGGAATTACTAGAAGTGTTACCCCCCCCCCCCCTGAAAGGGCGCCCCTGTAGGCGGCCTAGGCCCGATCCCCCGTTTTCGGCTGCCTCGGCTGCAGCCTTTTCGGGGGATAGTACTATCGGCAGGGTTCAAAGGATCTGTATGAAGCCGGGCTTTCGGTGCACGTGCACTTCCCATTTGAATCGAAATAACTAATGATTTCAGTCCTCCGTGCTAGAACACCTAGCTGAGCATTCTTACCAGAACGATCTTTGGCAGACCGCAGCAAAGAGGAGACGCGAGAAAAAGATGGCGGTTGACATAGAAACCTCCGCCGAGGGAAAACGTTGATCCGCGTGCGGGGGCATCAACATACAGGAGGGTCGACAGAACGTGCGCTCTGATAAAACATACAACCTATCAGCGTGCGCATCATATCTTGGCCGCCATGGCATTTTATGCTTCCGTCTAGGCACAATGGAAAGACGACTGATGTTGGTATCCGGTGCTGTTGTTATCATTCGGTACTCATAAAACGAGCGTCCGTTCGGACGGAATGAGATCGGCTATAGCGGATAAGTTGCGCTGATTGTGCTATGGTTTGCGACTTGCTATGAACTCCGCTAGTGGCAGGGGTTGATCGATTTGTCGGTTCGGAACGCAAACCGTAGGCTACACATCTGGATTTTGACATGTGGAGGGACCCAGGGAACTCATGCGTATTAGTGTAAGTTCTGGCGTTCCGTTGTCTCGCCTCCGGCTCACTGGTACACGCGGTACGTCCCAAGTCACTTCTGTACTTCACACTCGTCACAGACACTCCACACAGTCTGTCCTCGCGCCGCTGGCTCCCCGAGTCTTCTCTCCAAGTCCCCTCTCCTGGCCCCCGCGGCCGCGCCCCTCGCACGGCGCCTGGGGCGGGAGGAGGGGAACGCGAACGGGTCGAAGCGGCGTTCGCCAAACTAAACAAATATTCGCTGGCACATAGGTGTTCTCTGACACCTTACACTACAACTTTCGTAAAAGAAGAATACCCTCCTAGTCGAATCATTCGGTCACGACATAATGAACAATTCATGGCATCATGAACACATCTCACGAACCTGACTTAACGTGCACAGTAGGAGAGGCTCTTAAACGATATCCGCCACGTCATTACAACTAACCTACACTACATGCTAACACAAACAATATAAATGCATCATGAATCGTGTTATGCACACAGTTATCATAACCATGGGCTAAATCGATCTGGAGGCCGTCTGACTCGGACGCTTCGCTGTTCGATGACCGTTCGATGACGGCTGCCCTACAGACACCGGGATCAGGGACCTGGACGCATGGGAATGGGGACTCGGGCTTGGTGGTGATTCGTTGGTTCGCACTAGGTTACGGAGGACGGTGGTGATGTGGGCCGCGGGATACGTGACCGGCGCGCCAAGGTAGGGCACGGGGTCGGTATCGCTGCTGTCGCCGGCTCGTTAGGCGGTTCAGCCGCATTCTGGTCTGGTGTGGGATTCGCAGCTCTGGCCTCTGCCGGCTGATTCACAGCCGCGGCTTGGGCTGTAGCGAGATTCGCGGCCTCACTCTCTTGAGGCGGACAGCCATCCATGTCAGTTCCCCGCGTCACTGGCAGACACAAAAATGGTGCTGCTGGCTCAGCCGGTGTAGCTGTCTGCTGCCGTCTGTGGACATCGGTAAGGCCGGTGGTGGTGTGACTGCCTGAGTCGGCACTTGACGCTGCGACTGTGCTGTCTGGCTGCGCGGCTCCGCGGCCGGCGCAGTCCGGTGTGTTGGTGTTGCCGACAGCGACTGTTGCTCTGCAGTGTTATTGTTACGCGGCTTCAACCAATTGTGATGAACCACCAGCTTCCTGCGCCTGTCGCCGTACAGCTGAAGGCGGTAGTTTAGCTCATCTGTTTGTGCAAGAACCACCAGGGCCCAACGAACTTTCGATACTCGACTCGGGCGGGCACCTTCCGGAGCAGGTTACGCCGCATCACCCGCCTATTAGTGGGACGCGTTTAACTTGCGACCGTACAAATCTCGGTTTGCGGCGATGGTCGCCTCTGTGCGTTGTCGCGTGAAGTTATACGCTTTCTGCAGTCCCAGGCGGGTGATCCACATAGGCCGAGAGCGTCCCATGTTCTGTTTCGGCGGTCGCTGGGGACCCGATGATAGCCTCGGCTGGCAGTCGCGGCTCTCTCCCCATCATAAGGAGGCACGGGCTGCAGCCTGTGCTGTCATGCACTGCACTCCGATAGCCGAGGAGGAGCAGTGGAAGATGTTCTTTCCATTCGCGACGGTTGCCATCGAGGTACCGAGAGAGCATGTCGAGTATGATCCGCTAAAACCTCTCGCACACCCCGTTTCCGGCTGGCCAGCCCGGTGACGTCTGTGTTTTGTTGATCCCGAGCAGACGGCACATTTCTTTGAACACATTACCACAGAAGTTTGCTCCCTGATCGGAATGAAACGATGTGGCACGCCCCAGCGCGAGATAAATTCATTGACCGGAACAGCAGCCACCTCGTCAGCCTCTTGGGTTTTCAAGAGATACGCCTCTACCCACTTAGTAAAATTATCTATTACCACCAGCATGTTTGTACCCGTCCTCAGTCTCTGGTAGGTGCGTCAGCAGATCGATTGCCACTTTTTCGAGGGGCGCTTTGGCACCCAGGTTGCCCGGGGCAGCGCGCGGTTTTGGCGTCGGCATGTTGCGAGTGATGTACTTTTCGCACGTTTGACATAATTTTGAGGCGGCAGCGCCCAGTCCCGGGGACCAGAACCGGTTATGAATGGCTTGTGTGAGTTTCCGGGCGTTGAAGTGTCCGCCTGTCGGACCTGCATACGTTGATTCCAGAATCCGTTCACCAGCTGGTTGGGCAGGACGATTTGGAATTCTTCAGCATTTTTAGCCGTCCTCACAATGCGACAAAGTAGACCTTCTGATAGCTTGAGGCGATCATACCGGCCGGGGCGGCGGCGGCGGGCTCTGCGCCACCGAGGGACCCGCCATGGAGAAAGGGCGGAGCATTCCGCTCCCTGTGGCGGCGGCGGCGGCGGGGTCTGTGTCAATCACATGCAAGGCAGCTTCGCCGTCACGAGAAAACGCCATTTCTTGAAGGGACTGGGCCGTCTGACAACCGACCTCTAGGGTCGGCGGTGGCATACATGCCGTCGGCACAGTCATGGGCCAGACCAGGGCAGTGGACCACAGTAAACTAGATTCCGTCTTTTGAAACTCGGTGACCCAGGTACGTCACCGCTGGTCGGAACAGCTGGCATTTTGCCGGGTTTAGAGTAAGACCTGTGCTGCTGAGGCGCTTGAGCACTTTCTCCCGGCGCTGCAGGACATGACTGACCGAATTGCCGTGGACAACGATGTCGTCGAAGTATGCCAGACATTCCTTCCGCGCCAGTCCCCCGGCACGATGTTGAGTAGCCGGACGAACGAGCTCGGTGTTCCGACGAGACCGTAACTGCAGGCCCCAGGGCGAGTAGATGGCCGTCTTGCCCCTGTCCTCCGGCGCGGCCTCCATCTGATTACACCCAGACTTCAAATCCAGGATGCAGAACATGGAGGAGCCAGCCAGAGACTCCAGAACGTCATCAACTCTGGCGACCGAATAGACCGGCACCTGGGGGATACTGTTCACTTTGCACACGTCGGCACAGATACGCAGTCCGGCCCCGCCGCGTTTGCGGACCAGCACTACTGGACTGGCCCAGGCACCATGAGTCTACTCTGAGATGCCTTTTTCCACTACGTCATCAGTTTGG